CGGTAGTCTTTCCAACACACATAAAAAAACCAAAACTTTTAATTTTGATCAGCACCGCGGTGCCTCGGTTCCCTCATGAACGCTCTCTTAAGAAATTTAATAGTCAAAATCGAGTTTTTTTTCGAGAACTTTCATTTATAACATCGTAAAGTCTTACGACTTCTTTCTATACTATTATAAAAATTATTCACAATATGTTTTGTATGCAAAGCTTAAAATATGTGCATAATCTACTATCAAGTTTGCATTAATCCTTCATTCAAGGAAGATGTCTCAGGACATTTGTTTTGAGAGATGTTTTTACCATTGCAGGATCTTAAAACTTTTAATAACCTACTCTTTTACTCTTTTGATACTCTCTTAATTATTCTTCACTGATCAACTGACAGTTCACTTTTGTTTTATATTTTATTGCTTCTTCTATTGATGCATCATATCTCATTCTAGCGAATCTATACCTTGTTTTCCAGATTGTAACAATTCGAGCTCGAAAGAACTAGCTTATGGTTCTTCTAATCTGATTGATTAATTCTATTTGCTTAGCACTTTTTAGATTATGTTGTAATACTTTTTCCCAACTACTAATATCGTCGATATTATTCTGATAAAGTACCTCACAGTACTTTGTTAAAACTAACTCTGTTGTCGATCTGACTGTCATAATATGAGATTGAGAACCAGATTAATTTCTCCGAGTGGAAACTAGTGAATCAGATTCATTTCTAGCAACTGAAATTGGTTAACTATTTCATCACGTCTAAACTAATATAAAGCTGTTATGGTTTGATTCCTTTCTAATGTTGAATCTGTTATGATAAAAGATTTGAAGCTTGTATTCTAAACCCTGTATTTCTTATCATTATATTATAATTTCTCTTATTTCTTTCGACTGAAATATGTAAACTTGCATTGAAGAAAACAAACAATTATTTGATAGAACTAGTTTTTAAAGTTTTTCTTTCTGATTTCCTCCAGCTATTCCAGTTCTGCTGTCAGGCAAAAGTTCATCACATTTTCAAAACAGAAACAAAAGAAATCATGTGTTTATTTAAATGATAATGTGATTATTATCTGAATGAAATGATTTATTATCAAAAACAACTGAAATTTTATGCGACCTCTCGAATGGTTACCTTTAAACCAAACTATTATCTGCTTACAGAGTTTTATATGACATTCTTAGATAATCGATGCTTCTGATTCCTTTAGTTATAATTATGGATGACAATTTATTCTTATGTTATGTTATTTATAACAATGAAAAAAAAAAGTTGTTGTTGTCTATAGCAATAAAAAAAATTATTTTTTTTTAATAATAGGAAAATTTGAAGAACATCTTGAAAGCATCAGTGA